GGAGGGAGGGAGAGAGAATGAGAGAGGGAGAGAACAAATTACATTTCAGGAATAAGAAAGAAGACATCACTATGGATCGTACAATTATTCAAAGGCTGATGAGGAAATATAATTGTAATATTGTATTATAAGAAATATATATTTTGGTTTTTATCCCCAGCTCCTGGCCACAGATCCTAAAACCCTTGTAATTTTCTAACTGATAAGAGTGATAGAAGCATATTTTGTTATAATACTTGGTTTTTGTCCCTAGCCCCTGAAAGAAGTCTGGAGTGATAAAGGTGAAAGGAGCATCTTTTGCTATTTTTAACACACTCCTTCCAGCCATACCTTAGTTTATGATAATGAGGTGAATTTTGGAAGCCCCTAGGGATGGAGGGCTGGTTGCCAGGGAAATCAACCCTGTGATTTAGAGGGTTGGAGCTTTTAGTCCTTCATCCTGACCTCTGGAGGGGAGGGGGGCTGGAGGTTGACTTAATCACTAATAGCCAATGATATAATTAATCATGCCTATTGTAATGAGACCTTCATTAAAACCCTAATCAGGAGGTTCAGAAAGTATCCAGGTTGGTGAATACATGGAGGTGCTGTGAGGGTGATGCAACTAAAGCGTGTATGGAAGCTGCATGACCCTTCTCTCTGTACTTCGTTGTGTGCATCTCTTCCATCTGGCTGATCCTAAGTTGTATCCTGTTATAATACAGTGGTAATCTAGTAAGTAAACTGTTTTCCTGAGTTCTGTGAGCCATTCTAGAAAATTATCAAACTTGAGGAGGAGGTCAGTCCTTCTATGTTAATTTATTCATGCACAGTAGGTGTGATTTACCCAAAATGGGCATTTATCATATACCCACTAGTAGGATGAGCCTCATACAATAATATCTGTGTTTAAGGTATGCGGTAAGTAGCATAAGAAAATATTATGAACAACTATATGCCAATAGAATATTATGAACAACTATAAGTGTGCATTCAGGAGGTCACTTCCAATTTATAGTCTATTGGTCAGAAGCACAGGTGAGAGCCTAGACTTGTGATTAGTGCTTAAGAAAAGGGTAGGAAGCAATCTTATGGGACTGAATGCTTAACCTGTGGGATCTGTACTAACTCCACGTAGTTAGTGTCATAATTGAATTTTAAGACTCCCAGTCGGTATCTGAAAAGCTGGAGAATTGGTTGGTGTGGGAAAAAAGATACACATTTGTTTTCAGAAATATTCTCCTTAATAATGAACAAGTTTAATCCAATAAATTCAATAATGTAGTAGAAATTAAACTATAGGTTAATCTAATGTATGAACTTAGGTATAAAAATTCTAAATAAAAATGTTACTAAAACAAATTTACATGACCATATTGTATACATGTAGTCACCAATGTTCACTTAAGAAGAAATATATACCATAAATAGCCTAATAAAATAAGCTTGGGAGTCTTCCCTCTTCTTGAATTTTTTGTGATAGTTTGAGGATAGGTATTAGTTCTTTAAATGTTTGATAAAATTCACCTTTGAAGCCATCCTGTCCAGGACATTTGTTTGTTGGGAGTTTTTTTTATTTTTATTTTTATTTTATTACTGCTTCAGTTTTGTTAGTTGTGAGCCATCTGCTCAGTTTTTCAGTTTCTTCTTGATTCAGTTTTGGAAGGTTGTATGTTTCTAGGAATTAATTTCTTTCATATTGTCCAATTTGTTGGCATATAGTTGTTCATAATATTTTCTTATGCTACTTACGACACCTTAAATACAGATATTATTGTATGAGGCCCATCCTACTAGTGGGTAGATGATAAGTGCCCACCTACTATGCATGAATTAACATAGAAGGACTGACAAAGGCCTCCTTTCGAGGTTTGACCTTGGGCCTGGTATCTGGGAACTTCGATTTGGAGAGTCTTCCAACTTTCCCTAATTGATAAAAGTGTCTCATTGTGCCTAGTCTGCGTAAACAATATAGTTTATGCTGCACGTTTTCTTTCTGTGTATGAAGTGTTGGTACTTGCTAAGCCACGGGTGCCCAGCCCCCAATACAAACTTGGAGCTCAGAGTCTATAAAAAGCTTTGTGGCCTCAGAGTTATCTATGTGCCAGTTCTACTTAGATGTCTAGTAGGCATCTCAGATTTTACATAACATGGCATTCCCACCCTTCTACCCCAGATATGCCCCTGGCTAAAGTCCCCCAATTAATAAATAGTACTACCATGAACCCAGGTATTCAATTATAAACACCAGACCCTAGATTATTTTCCTCATTTCTCAATCTTCACCTCTGGTCCATAAGCAAGCTTGTCAGCTCATCCAATCCATCTGAAATTTGTCTACATCACTTCATTTGATCCGTCACCACCATAGTTCAAGCCACCATTGTCTTTCACACGGACCAGTTACAGGATCTCTTACCTGGTCTCCCAGCTTCATCTCTCCCCCATCTTCTGCATTCTTCAAAGCAGTGAGTCACTGACAGCATTCAGAGGAATTTATCTACTTAATATTCACTATCAGAAATCTGCCCTCAGCCTTGACCTTGTATTTTTCAGTCCTGCTGAGATAATTTGGAGTGTGGGGTGTCATGTCACTTTAATGGAACATAGAGTACAATTGAAGCAAAAACACTCTATGTGGATGTCTTGTAAGGGCAATATGCATGTCCAGCATGGTGACCGTGGGAAGTCACTCCCGTGTCTGTGGGAAAGCCAGCCTAAGGCTCAGCGCTCACGATCACTGTTGCTCAGGGCGTTTGTCAAAGAGGTTCTATGCCCACATGGCTTCTGGGGTCTCCATCTTGCTACCCAGCTAATGTTAACGAACATTAACACTTGCATATTTTAGTGAACTAAACAGTTTCAGGTAAAATGTAAGAATGTTTTATTTTAATCCCTGCTCAATCCCAATCTATTCACTCTTTCTCCAGAGGCAAGGGCACCTGTGATTTCTAAGGCATGTTTTATATTTTCAGCATGAACATTCATCCACAGTCACCAGGGCGCAAGACCATGCACCTCAGCCCGCCCCACCCCTATATACCACGCTGTTTATAAGGGGAAGATTCATTTGGGGTTTTCCAGGGCCCCACGGGGCACCCCGCCCCTCCGCCCAGGGCCCCACGGGACACCCCGTCCCTCCGCCCAGGGCCCCACGGGACACCCCTTCCCTCCAGCCAGGGCCCCATGGGGTACCTCCTCCCCCCGCCCGGGGCCTCACGGGATACCTCCTCCCCTTGCCCAGGGCCTCACGGGATACCCCGTCCCTCCGCCCAGGACCCCAAGGGGTACCTCCTCCCTCCACCCAGGGCCCCACGGGAAAGCTCCTCCCCCTGCCCAGGGCCTCACGGGATACCCCGTTCCTCCGCCCAGGACCCCACGGGGTACCTCCTCCCGCCCCTCAGGGCCCCACGGGATACCTCCTCCCCCGCCCAGGGCCTCACGGGATACCGCGCCCCTCGGCCTGGGGCCCCACGGGCTGCCTCCTCCCTCCACCCAGGGCCCCCCGGGGTACCTCCTCCCTCCTCCATCCATGGCGCTCCCGAGCGGCACATAATTGGGGGCATGAAAGCGTGGAGAGACTCCTGGATACCTTTTTAATACATAAAAGGTCAGGGTTTTGCACAAATGAATCAAAGACCGACATTTATTTAAGAGCCAATAACTTCATTTGAAAAAATGGTAAAACTTGAACATGAAAACTTCAGTGAAGGTTTTGCTAGGGCAATACGGCAACGTGCACGCTCAGCATGGTGACCGGGGGCGTCCCCCCACGGCTCTCGGGAAGGCAGCCCAGGCTCAGTCCTTCTTGCTGGCGCCCAGGGCGAGCTTGTCAAAGAGGTACTCGGCCAGGCCCGAGTCTGGGGCTCCCATCTTGCGCAGGCTGGTGATGTTGTCCCCCAACTCTTTGATGAACGCCACCTGTTCGCTCAGGAAATAACGCCTCAGGAAGTCGCACAGTTGCCCGTCTGTCTTCTCCTCGGCCAGCTGGTGCAGATTGAGCAGGCTCTGGTTGACTCTCCTCGCCAGGCGCATGGCGAACTCCATGGCGCTCAGGCTGCTCCCCCAATCATCCTGCTGCGGCCGGTGGATTTCGCCCAGGAGGACGCGGCCGCCGCGCTCGTTCTGCAGCCACATCAGCCTCTCGGCCTGTTCCCGCTCCTTCAGAGACCGCTGCTGGAAGAACTGGGCGCAGTGATGCAAGGCCACTTCGTGGTGCTGGAAGTAGAAGGCCATGGACTGGTACACGTAGGAGACGTAGAGCTCCAGGTTGATCTGCTGGTTGACCTCGGCCTCGCAGGCGGGGTGGTAGTTCTGGCGCACGTAGGAGGGCGGCGGAAAGTTCATTTCTAGAGGCCGGTGGGCGGTGGAAGCTGCCGGAGTCTCGGAGTGTCAGCGACCAAGATGGCGGCAGGCTGTTGGCGGTTGGCTCTGAGGTGGGACCGGATGTTCCTCAAGAGCGTTGGGGGAGGGGAGGGGAGGGGAGGATCGCTTACAGGAAGTAGGGGGGTGTGAGCGGGGCCCGAGGCCTCCGGCAGCGGGGAGGTTTTCCAGGTTCCATCCCAGCCTCGGGAAGGAGGGCGTCTCAGTGCTGGGCATCTGGCGTATGTAATATTTTTAAATGTTATTCATGAATATAAGTGCACCTGTTGTGAGTTAATCACCTGCACGATTTCTTTGAGCAACTTATTCGAATATTGTCCTAATGTGATTGTTTCATTAAGCTTAGCCCTTTTGTGGTATCCTTGGTTACAGTTACTATCACAGAGCTCTCTGAATGACTTCAACATCCATGCTAAGGACGATTCTGATAGCCTGCCTCAGTCCCTAGACCTTATTACTCCAGTGATCCCCACTTTCCTCCTGTTCGTGATCGATTTCCCACTTCTCTGATGGTGATGATTTCCCTAGCCATGCTATTAAATATATTTGATTAGGCTACATTCAAAATTAAACCAGTTCATTGGAGTAAATGTATGGGACACTTGGTTTTATAAAATTGTTTCATAGGTAGATGATGTAGAGCATCTTTCAGACTATGTTCTTGCAAAAGAGTGCTGTTAGGTCAAATGAACAAGAGAAAACAGGTAATAATATATTAAAACTTTTAATAAAATGACAATTCAATTTATATTTTTGATAGGGTCAATAGCATCTTAGAAAACCATGGTGTGCTGTATGTGTATATTGAAAGCATACCTTTGTATGTTCATATTAGGCTTTGATAGTTAATGTTAACATTAGCTAAAATTTGGACCTCAGTGTGGAATGTGGATTGTAAATTATTCTAAAGAGATATGATTATTAACATAAAATAACAACCTATGTTTCTTAATGTTAGAGTGGTACAATTTAAAAATAGTAATCATATTGAATATTTTTGCCTACTCCTCCAATATTGGACATTACCAGGTAAAATAGACATTATTGGGAACATGTGTCTTAGCTGATTGTATGTGTGTGTATTCTGTGAATTTTTAATTCTTAAAAAAATACAAATATATTAGAAGCCATGGAGTAAGATTAAATCAGCACTAGTGGAAAAGTGAGGTTATTGATTATTCTACATTTTTTCATATCCATAGTATGAATTGGGAAAATTTTTTGTTAGCTACTAGAAAATAAGCTAAGGTTTTTAATTTTAATCCTTCAATACATTCTATGTAAGGAGCACATCAGTCTTAAAGATTGAGATTATTTATGATCTATGTTCTCAGTGTACCACTATGTCATTTATGGTGCATATTTACAGAATGAATAAGCATTTTTATTCCCTTTTTAGAAGGCAGTGAAACTTTTGGAGTTCTGTGTCAGATAGTCCTCAGTTGAAAGCCATACCTTCCAAGCTTTGTGACGCTGCCTATAGTGAATAATTACACATCAGAGAAAAAAAATGGAATGAATGATATAAGATGTTATAAGGATTAAATTAGGTGATGCATTTAAGATGATGCTAATATTACACTTAGCTCATTGATCGCAATCAGTATATCGTAGCTGTTGTTTAGGAACTACACTGACCCTGAAAATGCTGTCTACTCATTATATAAAAGCTCACCTTAATTTTTAAATTTTAGATTATTCTGTTATAATTCTGAAATGCTAATAGACCTTTTCTCTTCCCTCTGCCTGTTCTTTTTATTTTTTAGCTAGTCACTGAAATCTCTTTTTTTTTAAAAATTTATCTTTATTGTTGAAAGTATTGCGGATATCCCCCCCTTTTTACCCATTGATCCCCTCCACCCTGCATCTGCCCCCTCAGGCCTTCACCACACTATTGCCTGTGTCCATGGCTTATGTATATATGCATATAAGTTCTTTGATTAATCTCTCCCAGCTTACTCCCCGACTCCCGCCTTCCCACTGAGATTCATCAGTCTGTTCCATGCTTCTATGTCTCTGGATCTATTTTTTTCCTCAGTCTATTTTGTTTATTAGATTCCACATATGAGTGAGATCATGTAAAACTGAATCAGGAAGAATCAGAAAACCTGGATAGGCGAATAACAACTAATGAAATCAAAGCAGTAATAAATTCCCAGCAAACAAAAGCCCTGGTCCAGATGGCTTCACAGGGGAACTTTCTAATTCTTTAAGTTGTAGGGTTAGATAGTTTACTAAATAGTTTTCTGGCTTTCTGAGGTAGGTCTATAGTGCTCCGAACTTCCCTCTGAGGACTGCTTTTGCTGTGTCCCATAGATTTTGGGTTGTTGTGTGTTCATTTTCATTTGTTTCCAGGAAGTTTTTGATTTCTTTCCTAATCTTATTAGTAATCCATTCATTATTTAATAACATGCTATTTAGCCTCCATGTGTTTGAATGTTATTGAATGTTTTTACTGTAGTTGATTTCTAATTTCATGCCATTGTGATCTGAGATGCTTGATGATTTCAATCTTCTTGAACTTGTAGAGACTTGTTTTGTGTCCTAACATGTGGTCTATCTTTGAGCATGACCAATGTGCACTTGAGAGGAATGTATATTCTTCAGCTTTGGGGTGAAATGCTCTGTAAATATTGGTTGAATCCATCTGATCTAGTGTGCCATTTAGAGTCACTATTTCTGTGTTGACTTTTTGTCTGGAACATCTATCCAATGAAGTCAGTGGGAAGTTAAAATCCCCTACTATGACTGTATTGCTGTTGATCTCTCCTTTAGAGTCCTAAAGGTTATTATTGATAGGTCCTTATATAGTCCCATTTTAATTCTTTATGCCTATGTTTCTCTCTCTATTTCTTATTATTATTACAGCAGTCCCTTTAACATTTCCTGCATTGCTGGTTTGGTGGTGATAAACTCCTTTAGCCTTTTTTTTTTGTCTGGGAAGCTCTTTATTTCACCATCTATTTTGAATGATAGCCTTGCTGGATAGAGTAGTCTTGGTTTCAGATCCTTGTTTTGCATTACCTTGAATACTTCATGCCATTCCCTTCTGGCCTNTTTGCATTACCTTGATACTTCACGCCATTCCCTTCTGGCCCATAGAGTTTCTGATGAGAAGTCAGCTGACAACCTTATGGGAGCCCCACCCTGTGGAGTTTCTACAGCCTGAGGCTCATTAAGACAATCAGATTAATCAGCCTGCAGGTAGAGGTAGACTTCAGAGTGCTTTGAGTCTTTGCCTGATCTACTTCTGGACCCCGGCCTTGGAAGAGCAGACTTTGGTGTGCATCTTGGTCCTGTCCAAATGCACCAGCCCCAACAGAGGGAAGCTCAAGCTGTGGGTTATTGATAGCTCCAAACAGGGTACTCAAGGCCAGTCACAAACAGTGTCTGACATTGGCCTGCACCAGACACCTTCCAAAAATACTGAGTCCTAGCAGGTCTACCTAATACTTAGAAACAAATCCAAATAGGCAGCCAAAATGGGGAAACAAAAAAGCCCAAATGAAAGAACAAGAGAAGTCTTCAGAAAAATAGCTAAATGAAATGGAGATAAGCAATCTATCAGATATAGAGTTCAGAATACTGATTGTAAGGATGCTCAACAGCNCAAGGATGCTTAACAGCATGAAAAAAAGATATGGAAACTATGTAAAATGACCAGTCAGAAATGAAGTGTGACTAGCAGAAATAAAGAATACATTGGAAGGAATAAACAGCAGATTAGAGGAAGCTGAGGATCAGATCAGTGAATTAGAAGACAGGGTAGAAAAAAANTTAGAGGAAGTTGAAGATCAGATCAGTGAATTCGAAGACGGTAGAAAAAAATCAATCAGAGATCCAAAAAGAAAAAAACAAAAAACAAGAGGACAGTCTAAGGGAGCTGTGGGACAACATGAAACATAACAATATTCGCATTATAGAAATGCCAGAGGAGGTCGAAAGTAAGCAAGGGTTAGAGAACCTGTTTGAAGAAATAATNACATAACAATATTTGCATCATAGGAGTGCCAGAGGAGGTCAAAAGTAAGCAAGGCCTAGAGAACCTATTTGAAGAAATAATGACAGAAAACTTCCCTAACCTGGTCAAGGAAAAAGTCACACAAGTTCAGGAGGCACAGAGAGTCCCAAGCAAGAAGAACCCAAAGAGGCCCACGCCCAGACACATCATAATTAAAATGCCAAGAAGTCAAGACAGAGAATCTTAAAGGCAGCAAGAGAAAAGCAATCTTTTACCTACAGAGGAGCTCCCATAAAGTTGAAATCTTTTTTATGTTATTCCTGGTAGAAAGTTTAGCAGGTAATGCAGTTCCAAAATATGAATAGCTTTCAGAATCAATAAATCTCAAAGATTAATATGATAAAGAATAATTAAATTTCAAAAAGTAGCTTACTTGGCCATATGTATTGGGTCTAAACATTATAATTAGAGAAATTAATTAAATTTTGCCTGATATTTCCTTATGTTTCCTCCCTACACTTTGGAAAGTTAAAGCAAGTGTTGTATATTTATACAGTATTCCTCACCATGAACTGTTGAAGAGCAAAGAGGCAAAACCAAAACTTTCACAAGTATCCAAACCTCATTAGAAAACCTGGTGAAATAGGTATTGCTCCAAGTTTGAAATGAAGAAACTGAGATTCTTGAAGCAACTTGCCTATTTACACATGATAAGAACATGGCAGTGCTGGAATATGAACTTATTTTTGCCCAGCTCTAAAGGTCATGCTCTCAAAAATCTTTTATGCAGACTCTAAGAAATTAGAAATTAGAAATAATTTTCTTTGTTTTTGTTAAACTCATGTTCCTAGAGCCAGATTCTCCAAAGGTGTTATTATCCCTTATATGATACTGCATTACAATTGATTATTAGTGTTTTATGTAATATACCATCAACTTTAAAGGCATGGCTGGCTTAAAGTAGAGGCTAAAGTGGACATACACATCACCAAAGGAGATTTTA